GGCTCTCTACTTGGCAGAGAACCTGCTTCTCCCTCTCCCTCTGTCTAGCACTCTGCCTACTTGTGCTCTCTCTCTATCTCTGTCAAATAAATAAATAAAATCTTTAAAAAAAAAAGTTTGAGTACCTTAAAGAGCTTGTGTTTACATGGATGGTACAAATATGGGAGAATAACCAATATACTGGTTAATAAGGATTCCAGATGATGCACTGAAACCTTCAAACTAAAGTTGAAGTTGTTAAAAATTTATTTTCAGGAAAAGAGAACGCCTACTTTGACAGAAGTTCTTTTGAAGAAGACTCAAGATTGTAGATTTCCTCTAAGTTCAGTGTAAGCCAATGATGTGACTTTGCAAAAAATCTTGAGTAAGATTACACAATGGTGAAACCATTGGAAGAAAAGACTCTGGCCTAAAGGAAATACATTGCAGGATGGTAAAGGAAAGCTTGCAAACACCTGCTTATAATGAGAGGCTGCAAATGTGTTTACCATTTTCTGGTATTTGGGCACAAAGCTCACTTTGACCTGCCAGTGGATATAAATGATCTGTGAGTTCTCTGCTTTTCCCCAGTCAGCCCACTGGACCTCATGTAAGCTTACCTAGTTGATACAGCCAGTGGGTCTCAAAATTGCAGTGTTCTCTTACAAATCAAAACCTAGTAAATTAAAGAGATTTTATATTGCAAAACAGATAAGGGATAATTGAATGACAAGATAAAATTTAACTTGAAAAACATTTTGTTATATGTTCCTTCAATATTAAACTTTAAACATTTAATTATTTTATAACTTAGAAAAGCCTCAGGTTTATCTCAAAGAACTCAAAATTTAAGAGTTCTCCATTTAAATACAAATCAAAAATTACCATAAAACATGGCTGAAACTATTGAATTAGGGTAAGGAATCATTTGCAAAAAAAAGAAAAAGTAATTTGCAAATAAACTTTCCCTTAGGGATGTGTCTTCTGCATCAAGTGGGGTCTCCTTGTAAGATAGACCCTAAGAGCTTCTGAAGTGCACTTTGAGCTTGTCTAGAGAAAGGCTGAGCCCAGTTCCGAGAGGAAATGCCTGGGATTCTGTTCAGAGTCACAATGCATAGGGTTAAGATAACAAACTGCTCTGGCTTCTTTCAGGGCAACAAAACATTCCTACAAACTCAAATTGTCTCCAGGGTTGTAAATCCAGAATGGTTTGGTAGACCTGAGCTAGGAGAAAGGGAACTGGGGCAAATACTTTTTTAATGTTTGCTTGTGGGCAGGATGGGTTTTTGTTTTTTGTTGTGTTTTTTTTTTTTTTTTTACTAGTTTACTAATACTATTTATTTGTTTTGTGAACTGTTTTGGGTTTGGCTCCCACTGCGGGGGGGAAAGAAAACGGAGAGTATCAGAAAATTTTTGGCTGGAGTTGCGTGTAAAGAGAGCTGTGAGAAGAGCCGAGGAAAGGAGGGCGGTTGAAATAACCCTGTGGAGCTATTAAGTCTGACAACTCTGCCCTTCCCGGTGGGACAGTGATTCGTGGATTGACTTGAGTTTAGCATATGCTCGTTGTTGTTCCAAATTGCACATGGAGGTTTAAGCTCTTTAAAAGGATCAGGTTATGGCACTCACTCCCCCAATTTGGTTGCTATCGGAGACTGGGCAATCATGAGAGAAGTGACTGCGGTTCACCTGGGTGCTACGCGAAGAGCAGTTCAGGCAGAAAAAATAAAGTGGGCTCTGAGAATCCGTAAGCAGCCGCAGACTGGGGCAAGTGGAGTCATTATGGCTCTTAACAAGTGAATGTGTAGCAAACTAATAACAATTTCATAATAAAGCCAAGAATCAGCTAATGAATGGGGCCAATACTTTTATCACTATCTGATTAGGAAGAGATGAGCAGTGCCTAATGATAGGAATCTTTATCCCTCCCCGTTTTATTTATGCCAGTCTATGTGGAGGCAGATCCCTGTAGGTTCCTGTTGTCTTATAATCTATGCCTAAAGCTTTGAGTCAATTGATGTCCAAGCAAGTGATACCAATTACTGCTTAGTAAGAGTATACTCTGAAGGAAAAGCAAGGCACCTCCTTGAGTATTGGCCTCAACACTTGAATTTATGACAAAGGGAAAATCTGTAACAAAAGCATACATGGTGGGCTGATGAGGATGCCTCTTGAGTTGACTTGGCATGTATGGGTTAATTTCTACCTGAAGCCCGGTGAGGGGGCTTGACTTGGTGCTGAGGGGTCTCTGTTTCCTAGGAAATGAGCAGGTTAAAGATGATCTTCCAGGAGTTGAGTATATTAATATACAAGCAACTTCATCCTCTTGTCTTTCCCTTCCTAATTTACAGCCATCTATGAGTGGTTCATAGGAGTTTTCAAAAGATGTGATTAGGTTTACTTGCAGGAAACTTGTGAAGGGTTTCAGGGTAATGATGTGTCAGCTATGAACTCATTCAGCTAATCTGAAGAAAAGTTTTTAGAGCAGGAAGGAGCCAGATTCAGAAGTGCTGACTTGTGAAACACAACGGTGAGTGCATTTGTAGCTAAAAGAGCAAAATTCTAGTTTCCTAATCATGTAAAGGAAAGGAGGTGGTGATGAGCAAAAAGGAAGAAACTGAATAACACAACATTCACTCATTTGCACCATCCACACCAGAGGTCCTCCTCGCTCATCAAAATTAGGAAAGTATTTGATATGGTTGCATACAGAGCTTATTGGGAAAGTGGCTGGCAGCCTGTGACTCAGGGACATGAGGTGGAAGGAAGAGGCTGACACGTTTGACTAGGAGCCACATGAGCACAACACAGTGGGTGGAGAGCCGCAAAGGGCTACACTTGAAATTCACTGCTGGGCTCATTTCATTAATATATTGACTTACTCATTGTGGCTGTGTAGAACCTCTTAAATGCAAGGCATTCTGGGACCACAGTTACAACAGATCTGTCCTCACCAGCATGAAACTTAGTGTTCCAGTTGTTACTAAGGTTGCAGGACAAATTATCCTGAATTTAGTGGTGAAAGACAACAATCTATGATGCTCATGGACTACCTGAGTCAGCAATTTACTCAGGGCACAGCAGGGCTTGTCTCTGCATGGTGGTGTCTGGGAGCCTCAGTTGGAAGATTCGAAGACTGGTGGCTGGAATCATCTGCAACTTGTTTACTCACTTGTCTGATGGTTGGTGGTGGCTGTCAGCTGAAACGTCAGTTGGGGAATGGGCCAAATTTTCTACATTTGTCTCTTCATGTGGTCTGAGCTTCCTCACAGCATGTGGTTGGGTTCCAAAGCTGAGTGCCAAAGAGGATGAGCCAGGCAGAAGCTGTCTCTTTGTGACCTTGCCTCGGAAGTCACATGGATAACATTGATTCCACCATGCTTCATTGGCCAGGACCAACACAGACCTTGCCGAAATTCGAGGAGAGGGAACATCAACTCCAAATATCAGTTTAGGAATGCCGATCACAATGAATGAAAAGCAGAAATATATGTATGGCTGTGTTATATGTACGTGTATAAAATCATCTGTCACAGGAAGAGTGAAAAAAATCATCACAGCATCAAGTAAAGAATATTGTTTGTGATGATTTTGTAAGTCATGGCCCAAAGAATCCTACAATTGGAAATACACTAATAAAGCAAAGACATACCCGAGCACTATGTTTCACAAGTGTGAATCGTGCATGTCACTTCCGTTATTATTCTGTTACCATTTGTACTACTGTTCCCTTCATTTTTTTAATTAGCCAACTGTTTTTAAACTCACATTTGTTTTAAAAGCATACTAGATATCACTACTGAAAATTTTATTTTTTTACCATAATTTATTTGCCATAAAACAAAAGTAACCTTAAATATAATCAAAATAAAATTGAACAGTTGTTAGGTATGTTGCTTTCCGATGAAGATTGCAAGAGTGAAGCAAGTCCTCTTTGTCAAAAATGTTAGCAGGTGTTTGAAAGATATTAAATCATAGTCCTACAAAATTGAGGCTCTCCCCAGGCCTTAATCTGAAAGATTGAAAGAGAAATAAAAGCAAATGATCCCTAGTGAGAAGGTCAGTGATGTTTAAGGCCAGGTCTGTGTGCTGCCTAACATCCTTTAAAGAATTTTTGATATTATAATCCTATTTTGTTGACAAACACTGATCCGGAATGATAAAAAAAAAAAAAAAAAGTCCTAAATAGGTAAGCTTTCATTTTGCGTCAGCCAGGTTGCTGGGATCCATGAGGAAGACCAGCATCTGGCACAGAGCTGATACATGTTAATTAATGAATGAATTTGTAACCTGCCATCTGTCAAAGGCTGCGTCCCCTGCACCTCTGTTTTGTTTTGTTTCATAAACCCCTCCCTGAAAGATTTAGTAAGCAATAAAAGGCATTGATGAGTTGGCTTCTACATCAGGTTTAGCCACCCTGTTATCTTATTACCATTCTCCACATACTGGGTGGAATTGACTTTTTGCTTCCCCTCTGTGGCATAACTAATTCCTAGACTTTACGGGACCACTCCCAGGCCAGCTTGCACTCTTTAGTATGAAGGTATCTAAATCCAACAACATGTGTTTCCAAAAATAATTATTAGCACCGGCCAGGACTATTGTTGCACTAAACCCTAGAGGTCTCAGGGAGTAACAAGAAATAGACACTTTGTTAGGGTACAGAGAAAGGCCACTAGGGGGCAGCTATCTCACCCCTAAAATTTAATTAATTGCTTACAATAGCATTGTCTTATTGTTGAAGTATTGGTCAGAAAACACTCCTTCCTGGGTGTTTTTTTTCCAGTAGAGATGATCACTTGGGAATAAGTATAATTTTCATGGTCTTCTCCACCTAGACCTTTCCTTCTGGTTTTCAAGGGGTATGGAGAAAGGTCTGTAGATGTTAGGAGGAAAACAGCCAGAGAGACTTATCTTCAGGGATTCCAGCCTGCAGCCTTGACCACACACGCTAAGACTTCTAACAATAGTGCCTTTCTGGACATGGGGCTGGCATTAACAGACTTTTCCTGCTTGCTTCATAGTCGGCTACAGTGAAGCTGTCAAAACCAGTGGCTCTGTGGACTCAGCAGGATGTCTGCAAGTGGTTGAAGAAACATTGTCCAAATCAGTATCAGATCTACAGTGAGTCATTCAAACAGCATGACATTACTGGTAAAGTATGCGGCATCCAAAATATTCTATTCCCTTTTCCTCTCTCCATCACCATGGCCTTTCCCATACCCTTACAATGCAATGCATCTCCCTGCTGAAGTTTCTGGCATGGGTTTACTTTAAAAGGGGGGATGGATTCCAGATCCATGCAAGCTAGGCTACTTAATAAGCATAAGCAGTTAGAGAAGCATGGATTCCAAGTATCCAGGACAAATATGTGGGAATCAGGGTAAGAGGTTGGGGAACTCTAGAGAAAATGAATGTGTACCAATTCTAGAGAAAAGAAAGGAAAGAAGTCTTCCAAATTAGCTGGGTTACAGGATCAGGATTAGATGTTCTAAGTAGGAAAGACTTTAAAATAGGAAAACTCTGAAGTGAATATGATAATATTAACTTACTGCCCCTGAGATGAATACCTTCAAAACAAAAATGAAGATTCCATTTAGATCCAAGAAGCATTTGGAAGCAGAAACTATGACAGTATAATGAATTGCAAAAGCCCTTAGGATCATGTCTCTCCATTGGAGAACAGGGTGGACGAGAAGGAGCAGATGGGGCCACCATGGGAGCCCATTAGAGTCAGGAGATCTTCTCCAGACCTCTCCTGCCCTCCTGCCCTGAGGATCTGGACGGATATGGGCAGCATTCCTCCCCTGCCCTCCCTCCCCCTTCACAAGCACTATGATGAAAGATAGGACTAAAGAATATGCTCTGTGCATCAACACTGTGCTTCAGAGGGAAAACATGTTGAGAAGTCCTGATTCAAGTCCAGGTTCTTCCCTTTTTTAAGAGAAAACTACTTCTCTGGTGGGAAAGTGACTTGCTCTTGAGTAGCCCAGCCCTGTGGATGCCAGCCCTCTTTCCAACCTGGGTGTTTTTCAAAGTGTATTCCTTGGAGCCTTTGGGTACACTAAAGATTGCCAAAGGTACAAGGGGTGTGCTTTGGGTTGAGGGGGGTGTGTCAGCTAAAGCAGCTTCCCTTATGTCTGTTTGACATATTCGAATTGTACAAAAACTTCATTTGGGAAAAAGGGATCTGATACAAAAGAACCGGTAAGCTAGGTTATCCTAGATTCCTGCTGACCAAATTGGTAATGTCTTAAAATATAAGGAACACACTCAAGTATAGCTCAAGGTGAGTTAACAGAGAGTGAAATCCTCCTAACTTAAGTGTTAAAATTGTCCTTAATGTACTTTGCTTCCCCCACCACCAATTGGAATAATGTTTTTTTAGATGAAATTCCTAAAATTGTGAAGGCAGTGTCAGAACTTTTTAGATTCTGAGTATCTAATTTTTTTTCCTAGTCCCTCCTTTAAGAATATAAGGAAATCCTCACAAACAATGAATCATGGAACACTACATCAAAAACTAATGATGTAATGTATGGTGATTAACATAACAATTAAAAAAAAAAAGAATATAAGGAAATCCCATACAGGGTCAGTTCTCCCAGCCCTAAAAGCAATCAATCAGTCAGTCACCATTTGGCTGATTATGGTCGCCTTCGTCTGATAATGTGTGCTTAATGTTTCTTCATACCTGTGTGATAGAATAATGGCAAAGGCTTTCTCGTGATCTTACTTGAAAGTAGTGTTATCTTTTATTATTGGCAGGAATTGTGAGATGCCCTTGAGGGAAGGGTAGGCATTTATATTGGTTTGTAGAGGATGAGCCATCCATCCCTTAGAAATAAAGGTCTCCTGCTTTGTGGCTTGGAGTCCATAGTATACCACTTCCCAAGGCTTTCTGCTAAGTGACATGAAGAAAGAGGGTGTGGGCATGAAATAGGGGTTTTGAACAGCTGTCCTATTGCTTTTGGTGGCCCATTTGGTCTCCAGGCAACACCACTGTTACAGGTCAATCACAACCTTCTTGGAATCTTGGGCAAGCTGCTTAAGCTAGATGAGTTACTCAATCTCACTCCTCATCTCCAAAATAAAGATAATAATAGTACCCATCTCCAGGAGTTGTTGTGAAGATTAAAATGAAATAATATTAAGCGACCCACTAAGGTGGCCATTTATTGGCACCTTCTAGCTGTCAGCATTTTGCTCTTATTCTTGTCAAGACTCATCTGGAGGTGTCTAAAAACATACTATTCATTCTAAGGGCAGCCTGTTTTCAGGCAAGAAAAGAAAACAGAAAAGTATTGGGGGCTTAGGGAACAGAGAGGAGGATTTCACACTAACATTCGGCCTACATCTTTTTGACCTTCTGCTATCTGAGGGCTCAAAAAACCACTCTCTTCCCCTGTTCTCTGGCCCCTGCCTCTCCAGGAGTGAATGTGAAATACCCAGGTGGTCACAAGTGCCAAGTGGCCAGAGAATAGGACTGCAGTCAGCCCGCAGTTACCAGCCCCAGGATGCTGGAAGCTGGTGGGGGCGGCGGGGGGGTGGGGGTGGGGTCTCCGTGCCCTTGGAGGCTAGGCTGTGAAAAACAGGGCAAAGAGGATTGTGAAAAATTAAGACTCGCGGTGACAGAACTAACTTCATCAGCCACCGGTAAATAGTGGAGTGCTGAGGGTGGTGACAAGTACCAGGTCGAAGCCCAGAGCTGCAGCTTTGCCATGGAATTTCGTGAAGGTTCCTGGTGCCCTGCAGCTTTCTTTGTCTGCAGAAAGGTGATGGTACCTGCCTCCTAGTGTTACTGTGAAAGTAATCCATGGTCCTAGGAAGCAGGCATTGAATGTGAGCTGTTGCTGATCTCCTAAGTGCTGTTCTGATCTCTCCGAAAACAAACACCACATATAAACAGTGTTGAATTCATCTATCTTTATTATCCTGAGAATTGGGAAGTGAGCACCCAGGTGGAGTGGAATGGCATGGTGGTGGTGGTTGGGGGGCGGGTGGTCTGGGCTGGTAAGTACCCTGTGCTTATCTGCAAGGTTGCAACAAAGACGTTCAGTGTCTCTTCCTTATGCTTAGATTCTCTTGAGCGTTGCTGTTCATTTATTTTTCCCAAAGCGTGGATCTCCAATACCATGCTCATCAAGTAAGTGTGTTTATCATACCAGTGTAACCTATAAACAATCCCTTAATTTAGAGGCAGATGGTATTGCGATGGCAAATAAAAAGGACAAAAATTAAATGGAAAGAAGGGAAAAAAGGGCTTTCACAGACCCAAGTCAGATCCTCCCTGCTTGTCCTCCACCCCCAACCTTTGACAAATAATAACTGTACAACATCACATGAGTTAGTTTTTCATCAGTGAAATGAGAATAATTATTTTAAAGGGTGTTGTTGGGAGAATTAAATGGAAGGATGCATGTGAAGGGCCTAGCTTAATGCCTGATACACAGTAGACATTTATCTACTATTTAGCAAGTATTTGTGGAGCAGCTACCCTGTACCGGGTTTTGGGAATACAGCAATAAATAAGACGGTCAGTGATCTGTGCAGGGAAAAAATTATGCTTCCATGAGAAACTATGCATCGTCAATAGCACACCATGTGGGGCTATCTAATTCCACAGAGCTGTTTTTACAACTCGGCAAGTTGTAGATAACTGATAGCAATACAAAATAATCCTTGTGGTAGATGTGTAAATTCTGTCCCATAGAGGTTCAGTTGGCTTTCCTAGCCACTGTGGAAAAGGTGAATTTTGCCTGCCATTTATACATTCATTTTACTCTCCCTGATCTATGGGTGTGTGCTCTTTGGATTCTCCTTTGTAATATCTTTCTCCTGGTTGTAACATCTTAACTGGTTTCTTCACTAATGAGTTTAAACAAAAATCTTAAATGTGTTTGTTTTTGTATTTGGTAAGAGTCCTGATTTTAACCTGTTTTGAAAATTACCCTGTTTTAACTTCAGTAGTTAATTTTTTTTTATATTTTGGCCAGCAAGTCCACTCTATTAACATTTTTTATGCCTTTGTTTGAAGGACATTAGGTTGTACACAAACGTTCCCCCCATTTTCTCCAAAGTCTAAGAAACGTTAAGATATGTTTCAGTATACTAGCATTCAAAACCTTTTGCAAGTTTCCTATTGGAATTTCTGAGAATTTCATTGTGTCCAAATGGCACCTGCTATTTCGTGGCAGATGTGTTTAATCAGAAGAGAAGCTACTCCTGTTACCTCCCTGCAGAAGAGCTCTTAAAAGGCATAAGATGGTTAGAACACCTGAGAGGCATTAGGATAGATAGATTTAAATCATCAGATTAGGCTTGAAGGAAAGAAATTTGTCTCTTTTCCTGTGCTTGCAAGATTCTCTCTCCTGCTTTCTGAGGCCAGCTTGGAATGTTGATGAGGAAGCTCTACTGGGGCCAGGTGTAAGCTCACAGGCAACTTTCAGATTCTCTTTTATGCACAGTTAAGAATATTTTCAGGTTTGAGGCTATTTCAGCCCCTGGCTGTGCCTTGTGTTGTTCCCCTGGCTGCTAAAGTGAGTTTACCTCCTTCAGCATCAAGTCCTCCACCTGGAAAGGGTTCTTTCCCCTGCCAACTTGAAAGACTTATTTTTATGGGTGAAGCACTCAGAGTTCCCCAGCATATAAAATATTTTCAAAAGCCATTTTGAATGTGGAAAAGGTTTCCATGTAGTCTGCTTTGTGGCACAGTAATAGGAATTCTTTAGATGTCCAGATGTCTGCAGGAATAAATAGTTATCATATGAATATCCCCCACAAATGGTCAGTATTGATTTGTAGTATTTCCCAGTGGCCTCCTGCAAAATAAATGAATACATTTCTTGTTCTTTTTCTGCTTCAGCCACCCCACCCCCACCTCTTTCCCCATTTCAAAATATTCTGCTGAGATGTAGCACCCTCAAATTTGGCAGTTCTGCTTATGCTATTGAATAAAAGGGAAACCTCTCTTTTTTAGACCTTTGGATTATGGATCTATGTGTTTGCTAACATGAATCCCTTCAGTGCTGGTTTCTCTGAGCTGTTCTACCCCTTTACCCTTCTGCTGTTGTCTTCCTTGTCTTTATTATGTTACCCATAGAGACCAGCGGGATATGTAGTTAACAATTTATCAGAAGAAGTGGAATTGTTAG